GGTGATGGTGGTTACGGTGATGGTGGTTACGGTGATGGTGGTTACGGTGATGGTGGTTACGGTGATGGTGGTTACGGTGATGGTGGTTAAGGTGATGGTGGTTACGGTGATGGTGGTTACGGTGATGGTGGTTACGGTCTGTCTCTTATACACATCTAGATGTGTATAAGAGACAGCAACTACCCCGTGTGTGTTGAGTGATGACGTGGTGGTGACGTGGTGGTGGTGACGTGGCCCGCTATCTGCTGTTATCAATCATATCAGCTGTGATATTATCTCTAATCATACAAATTATTTTTATTCAACTATGAAGGAAGCCTTCGCTAGTGTTGTCAACGCGCAAATGTCTTAATGAGAATGTCTTTCTTTTAATGTCTTAATGAGAATGATATTGTATAATGTTCGCTCTTCATTGAAGTCTTAATGAGAATGAGTAGGAACGATATTATAATGTTTACTCATCATTAATGTCTTAATGAGTAGGTATGATATTAAAATATTTGTTCTTGATTAATGTCTTAATGAGTAAGAACGATATTATAATGTTTGTTCAACATTAAAGTCTTAATGAGTATAATATTATAATGTTGTCTCTTAATTAATGTCTTAATGAGAATCATATTATAATGTTGTCTCTTCATTAATGTCTTAATGAGAATCATATTATAATGTTCGCTCTTCATTAAAGTCTTAATGAGAATAATGTTTGCTCTTTATTAAAGTCTTATTAAGAATCATATTATAATGTTCGCTCTTCATTGAAGTCTTAATGAGAATGATGTTATAATGTCGTCTCTTCATTAATGTCTTAATGAGAATGATGTTATAATGTTTGCTCTTGATTAATGTCTTAATGAGAATGATGTTATAATGTTTGCTCTTGATTAATGTCTTAATGAGAATGATATTCGCTCTTTATTAAAGTCTTAATGAGAATCATATTATAATGTTCGCTCCTCATTAAAATCTTAATGAGAATCACATTATAATGTTGTCTCATACAACAATCGTCCAATTGTATGTTTACTTTTGCAAGATTGTGTTCACATTAACGATATAAATTGTTAAACGAAATAAATAATATTTTTCATTGATCTTTATTTACCCTGAAAAATCGTAATTGAATCCGTGAACGAAACTGACTTCATATTCGTGCTATCGTGTTTTATTTTCATTATTCGTTATTTTTATTCGTATGTCTTTACTTGGAACATGTTTATTTATTTATTAATTATTCTAAACGAAAATGACTTCATATTCGTGCTATCGTATTTTATTCTTATTATTCGTTATTTTTATTCGTATGTCTTTACTTGAGACATGTTTATTTATTTATTAATTACTCACGTGTTATATTTATGAGGCAGGGGGCGGGGGATTAGCCCCCCGCTGGGGATGATGTGTGAGCGCCCCCCTTCCCCATCACGTTAACAACATTCCCCTTATATATTATAATATATAAGGGGAATATATTATAATACTTATAATNAAAATGCGCTCTCTGTCACTCACTGCAGTGAGTACAGAGTTATATTTTTATACTTATATGCAAGTTTGTTCGTCTGTGTGTGGATTTGTTTCAAGCCTGGCATTATACACATCTATGTGCTATTGGGGGGCGCTTATCTGTCTGTCTGTCTGTCTGTCCGTCCGTCCGTCTGTCTGTCCGTGACCTCAAGTTTTCGTCGACGAGAAAATGCGCTCTCTGTCACTCACTGCTGTGAGTACTGAGTTATATTTTTTCTGTAGTTTCCTCATTTTATGAAATTTATTTCTATTTATTTATTTCTAAACAGAGCCTTAAAGCTCATATTTCCTATTAATATTGGAAGTATTCCATGCTGGAATTACTGGAGTACTGAAAATTTGTACAAAGACAATGTGATTGATTGTAGACTTGGTATCAATTGCCGTAGGAGTTTTCATCAATAAATACAAGAGAGTGTAAATATCCTGCAGGTCGCAACTTTGAGTGAGAACTTGATGCTAGGTAATTCTTGCATGTTTATTATAATTTAACACGTTGACTACGATTGCTTCGTCTTTTACTATTATTTCATTTTTTGTACTGTTTTTAAACAGGGTTGCCAGACGGTCATTTTTTCCGGACGAATTCCATGATTTAGTTTTTCTCAATTGCATTGGCCGGCTAAAATTTATGATAGGGGTACTTCCTAATTAAATTTTAAATACTGCAAAAAGAAAATAAATGAAATTTTTATAGTGGAACCTACAAATAAGCTAGTATACATTGAATTATCGGCCTTTTTTGGCCTTTTTTTGTTCGTGGATTTGGCCGATTTTAGGCAACCTGAATTATGTACCACTACGTCCTGGAGAAATACATTTCGTGGTACGCATATATACCACTTCAGAGTCAACGTGTTAACTAAATAGTGTACAACTACACTATTACATTTAATTTTCATAAATAAATATGATATTGTACACCGCAGGTCACTGATCTGCAGGACGTGATGTAAA